TTTTTTTAAAAAAACCGAAAAAATATGAAACAAAATACAGTACGAAGAGAGAGAACGCTAACCTTGCTCGACGCGACTTCTGGCGTGGAGGGCAGGAAGGCGGGTGGGGAGGCGGTTATTGCTTGGAGGGGGGGGCCCCCTCCCTACAGGAAGCCACAACCACATGTCACGGGAGGGGAAATTGCCACGGATCCTGTTCGTCACCCAATCCGGCGTTCGCGAACGGAGGCAAAATTTTGTGAACGGAGCTGTTCGTGACCCGAATTGGTCGTGAACAGAAGCGTTCGTGACCCGAGGTACCACTGTACTTACTTTTTGTTATGTGTTAGACTGGTCAGCAATCCAATGTAATGTGGAAGAATAGCACCATCACAAACAGCAGAAGAAACACTGGGCTTTTGCTGTTACAACAAGCATGAGCAATATATAATCCTCTGGATTCTACTAGTCTGCAGCTGCCCTGATTCCTTGTAGTTGGCCATGATGTCTAGGGCTGATGGGAGTTAAGTGTTACCTATTCATGTTTGAGAAGCAGCAAAGGAATTATATCAGAGTACAGTTATGAACCTTAGAGTAAAGACCATTAAACACAGTGGAATATGCTGTGAGTATATTCATGGAGAATTGTACTGTGGAACACAAATCAGAACATAAGGGGCCTGAGTTTAAAGAGCAAGCATTCCATAGACTTCCAATGTGGTTTTAAATAGGACATATTAATCTCAGTCACATTTATATGGCAACTGGTTCTTTAGGGTTTTATTTCTTACTTTCTTTTTAATACTTGAGGGTTTTTTTCCTGAAGACATTTAACCCAGAATACTCATCCTCATGACTGAATATTCATCCTCATAATGAATTACTAGACTGCAAATTTGCTGTATTGCACATATCCCTCACCAGTGGCCACTCTGGTTAAAGCTTATTGTTACTGGAGTTCCCCAATACCTGAAAGACCACATATTGCCCATCCTAGATTTACACATGTTCACACAGCCAATATTAATCCAAATTCATGAGAAGGCTACCCTCTTCCTGCCCCCCCCCCCAAACCAAGCTTTAGTAAACTGAGAATTGATTGGGCATAGTCAGGTCATGGCCTAAATCAACCACTAGGGGCAGAAGAGTGTTCCAGCGATCCTCTTCTATGACACAAAATGTTATAAATCCCTTTGCACTGTAAAATGTGGAAGGACTGTGGTTTAAGTATAGATTACTAGCCTTAAATGCAGAAAGTCCCAGATTCAGCCTTGGCCTTCTCAGGTAGGCCTGGAAAACTCTCTGCCTGAAACCTGGAACTGACAATAACAATCAATATCGACCAGGGATGGGTAGCCACATTTCGCCAAAGTACAATGATAAGGAAAACTGGGAATTGTACTTCAGCGACATCTGGCAGGCCACCAGTTCTCCATCTTTGCTATAAACAGCACTGAGCTAGATGGACCTGTAGCCTGACTTAGTGTAAGATATTTTTAAGTGTAAAAGTATCTACTTTTCCTACCTACTGGATTTAGCTCATTTAGAAAGGATGGGAACCATGCCCAACCATTGCTTAAGTAACCAACATGATTGATATGATCTGTATAAGAAATAAACAACCCTTAAAATAGTTCCTTTGACAAGCAAGCCCTGGTCAAGTTCCGTCATATTAAAATAAACCCGGGCCTTCTGTCCTCAATCCATTTTGCCCTAGGATGCCAAACCAAGGTATGAGCAACACTATTCTTCCTTCTGTGTCTCTAGGTACAGTAATTGTGAGCCTGTTCTGAAGCCCTTGCCTGACGTAATTCTCTTGCAAATCAGTAAGCGTCTCACGGTGATTGCAATTTACCCTTTAGTATAAAATAAAAATGCCCCTTACTTCGTGGTAAAATCTGCAAAAGAGACATTGTGAAACAAGCTCAAGTATTGATCTCTCCTGATAGGAACCAATTCCCAGGATGCTGGAAATCTATTTTTTCCTCTACTTCCAAAGGCCCTCTGTCAACCTTCCTATGTCAGTCATCCTCAGCACTCCCCTTCTTCCCTTCCCTCTTTTCTTCACTGGCCTCTCTGATTCTTTTTTACTTTTAATGTTTGTGCCCTTTCACCCCAGTGCTGTTGGGGAATTTGCTGAGGCAGAAAAGAGGCTGGCTTTCAAAATAATAAAATAAGTAAATAAACAAGCATACAGTAAAGGATCGGAATGACGTGGAACCAAAGAATGCCGTATGAATTGATCAATGAACCCAGACCTTGAAGGGGTGACAAAGAATGCCAATTACTGCTGAGATTCAGAAGGCAGTGGGCATCAAATGCCCCTTCTGCCTTCCTTTGAGCAAGCTCCCCCTAAAAGCTTGTGTGCTTGGGCTTTAATGCTTCAGCCCCAGAGAAGGCTGGATGGGGCAGGGCAGATTCCAGGACAGCTCCCATACAGTCTGTAGGCTTAATTATCCAAATCCACATGCTTGCAAGTGGCTGTTCATAATGCTGCCTCCCTGGCATTATGCCATCATCTGCTCATCCATTTTTCATTGCTCTTCCCTGCATTAATTTCTGGGTTATTCTTTATAACCCCTTTAGCTGGTAGCTTGTCAGAAAACGTTTCCCCACGTTATGGCTCTGGAAAGCTGATTATGATAATAACCTCATACATTTTCCAGCAGGAATTGCAAAAACCTCATCAGAAAAGCAAATGGAAGATACAGTGTTTTAGAGGAGGTTTCCCATCCCAGAGCCAAACATTTTGCCCAAATACATAACATTCCTTATTCTGGTAACTTGTAGTTCACTTGCATTACTGTTCCCTTCATTCCCTATCATTGAACTGACTGGGGTGATTCTGACACTGCAAGCCAACTTACCTGCTGGACTCCAGGTTCAAAGAAGTTGAAAACCAGTTGGTTTTTTTCACCTTTCTTGAGAGTATTCCACGCAGTCTTCTGCTATTCTTTTGCTATTCTTTTGTACTGCTGGATGTATAACTTATATGAATGCATGATGATGATGCATTTTCAGTATTTTTTGGAAGCAGCTGCAGTAACATGCTCCAAGTGCTGAGTATAAATCTTATTTGATTAATAAATTATCACCGACCATGTGCATTTGTGTTTTAATTGTTACAGAAGTACATTCCTTTAAAAACCAATAGCAAAACAATCTTGCACTGTTATGGTCCTGTATCTCTACCACCCCCTTTCTTTCTCAGGTATAGTACGTGCCTCCAGTGTGTTTCCCATCCTAAGCACAATCTTACTGTTACTGGGAGGGCTCTGCATCGGAGCTGGGAGGATCTACAGCAGCAAGAACAACATTATCCTTAGTGCTGGAATTCTTTTTGTAGCAGCAGGTAACTTTTTCCCACTTAATATTTTACAGGCTTCGTCCTTAATTTTTCAGTGGGCATTGGGGATGGAAAAGGTAGTGTCCCCCAAATAATATCAGCAAAGGTATTTTATGATTATTGATTGGGTGCAGATCTTCACTGAGCCAATTCTGCTGGAACTGAAGGAGAACAAAGATGTGATTTTCTTCAGCCCTCACCCTCCCACAGCGCCAAGTGCCACCACATACAGTCACCACATTTCAAGCTGGGAAGCACACTTACTACTTTGGGAACCTGGTTTCTCTTCCAACATGGCTGCAGAAAGGATGATTGCAGTAACAGAACAAGTTACAAAGCGCTGATTTAACAGAATGCTACCTATCACCCATTTTAGGTCCCCATCCCAAAAACACTTTTTTAGTAGCCCTGCTTGCTTTTGCTGTTACTGGGGGGCAGGTGGGCACATTTCCAAACCAGCCCTAGGCTGCAGCCACCATCAGACTCATGCGGCCCATCTGGGGGTCAGAATCATCCTTGAAAATAAGAATGATGCTGTAACTGGCACTTTGCTTTACATAAAAATGTAAAATGGTTAGATCAAACAGCCTGGAAGCCACCAAAGAAGGTGTCCACTTGCTTTCTGAACACCTGGTTGGAAACCCCTCCTCCAAATTTTCCAGCCTTCTCTCCTTCCCTTGGATTTCACATAGCTTTTTGAATGGAATGGGAGGAGGCCTTAGGTTTCTGGAAGGGCAAGGTAAGATCCAACTCCATATTTCACTCATGATCTTCCTCTAAAAAACTCAGGAACTAATCACGCTCAGGTACTTTTCTCTTGTGCTATTTTTTTCTCCTTACCAACACATTCTAAAAGAGCAACCTTCCTTTTTGAAAAGTAAGCTAGCAAATGATCAGCCCTGCAGTATATCCATGGTTCAGTGGTAGGCAATCTGATACCTTTTGGTTCCTACAAGCTCTTGCCATCAACCATGCTGGCTACAGCTGATGGGAGCTGAAGTCTATTTGGTACCAGGTTGCCAACCCTTGGCATGGTTGTTGTTTTTCCTTTGTTTAATCCTGATGTCACACACAGTAAATGCCTCATCTTTCCACTTCTTATCCATACCAATTCTCTTAGGATGTAGTTGTAGATTCTACCTAGCTTGCCTTTGACATTGGGAATGTTTAATTTAAATGTCGCTGAGTTAGATCAGCATTAGTAGTACTAAGGTTATACTGAAATCAAATAATGATTAACAAGTCCTCCTGAGGCTCTTGCATTCCACTGAGGGCTGCTTTGAGTGTCCTCTGGGTAGAAAGGAAGGATATAAATCAAAGGTGACAGAGAAGAAAGATGTGTTCCACCATCTGGCTGCCTGGCTATCTGTAGAAAACAACTTCTTCGCAGGAACAGATTTTTGGGCACTCCCAGGAACAGCTAGCTGTTCAGGATTATGTTGGTTTCCTGGGACTGCAATTTTAAAGGAATGCTGGTAAGGTCTTCACTGAAAGAGTAACTCTAGAGGAGCCCAGAGCATTTACAGTTTAAAAAAAATGTAAATTATATCTCTGTCTTCATTACACCCACACAGAACAGACCAACTTGTTTTATCTTACTGTGCAGCCAGGATTTGCAGGGGAAAGGATGTAGAGTAGTTTGGGGTTTCTGTGAGCAGCTTACACTATTCTTTGCAGACAAAGTCAATTAGATCTGCCATGACAGTCTACAAATGAGGGATATAAGTTTGGCAACCACTTACCTGTTATATAGGAATCTTTTCAGCTTGTAGATCTCAACAATATAGATTGTATGTATGGAGAAATGAGAGCTAATATCTCCTCATTAGTCCCTCTAGTTAATTAAATTGGCCAGCATGGGATCAGTCCATGTTTCAAGTTATCAGTTCCTTCTTGTGACAGGGATATATTTCCCACTGTCTAAAAGAGGCAGTAATAAGACCTCTACTGAAGAATCCTTCCTTCTGCTTAAAGATATTTATGATTGCAGGCGAGTCACAAATATTCCATTTTAGGAAAGATGATTGAGAAGGCAGTGACTTCCGAGTTCCAGAAGCATCTGAATGATGTGGACTGTCTGGGGAAGTGAAGCTGGCACAACTGGAAGTAAAGAGTCTGAGATCAGATAAGACCATTATCAAACCATTGCACAGATTCAGCATCCCAGGCTGAGAAACAAGTAGCAAATAGTCCATTACCAAATAAAGAAGGAGAAATAGGAACATGGTTTAAACACCAGAGTTAACACATAAATATGGCTGGATTCATACACTCTGTGGCAGCTGATCTTGATCATTATAACAGCAAATTTAACATTTCCAATAAAAGCAACTTCTCTGAACCATGTCCTTGAATTATCCACCGTTAAGCTCATGGCAGTATGTTTGTGTTCCTAGAGAGATATTTACAGTATTGCCATGTCCAGGGTGAAGTACTCTGGATTCAGGTCAGTTGGGCTTTCAGCTGAGTTATGGTGCTGAACCTGCCTTAGTCACCTTGGTGGATGATGTACGCTTGAACTGAACAGGAAGGTGAGGATCTCTGGACATCTTGAGGTTCTTCTGGATTAGCTGGCAGGATTGGGCCCCAAGTACACTATTTTATAGAGGTTCTGTTTCTTTTTGGCAGGTCATGTCCAGAAGTGGTGCTGAAAGACTATGATTTGGTACCCTAGGTCTCATGTCCCACAGAGCTTCATTGTGTTGTTCATGTTATTCCACAACTATATGAAACTGCTAGGGAGTTGTAATGTGGTGTTTTGGAGTGGGATGTCATCATTCTGCTGATGACACCCGATTTTATTGCTCCTTACCATCCAACTTCAAGGGAGCAAGAAGTATCCTTGAGGATGCTTAAGTTTAATATTGGGCTGGATGAAGTAGGAGAAGCTGAAATTAAATCAGGCCAGACAGATGTTGTAACTGAAGAAGAAGCTAGAATTAGAGAAGGAGATTCAGGCTGCACTCTGTATGAAAGAAGAGTTTTGCAGTTCAGAAATACAGGTTGACCTAGATTAGCAACTGCCTTGGCCAGTGACCATTCAAAGTTACAGGTAGTCCTCGGGTTATGACTACTTGTTCAGCAACTGTTTAAAGTTATGACTGTGCTGTACAAGGGGGACTTACAACCAGTCCTTGAAGTTGCAGCTATCACAGCATCCTTGCAGTCATGTGATCATGATTTGGGTGCTTGGCAACTGGCTTGCAGTTACAACAATTGCAGTCTCCTATGGTGACATGATTGCCATTTGTGACTTTCCCTGCCAGCTTCCCACAAGCAAAGTCAATGGGGAAGCCCGCAGGAGGTTGCAAGTCACTCCTGCTCCTACCACTTTCTCAGCCACCCACTCACCCATACTCTGTAGCGTGCACCCACGGCACCCACCCGCCTGCCCATACTCCATGGCCTGCAGCACCTGCCCATCCAGAGCTTTCACCCATAGCTCTTGCCCACCAGCCTGCTTGCCTGGATTCCTGCCTCTTCCTACTTTGTGGTCATGTGAGGTCCTCACTTAACCACCCACATGTTCTTGGGTTACAACGGCAACTGGGACTGCTGGGATTGCCATCACTAAGTGATGCAGTCACATGACATCATGCTTTACAACCACATTGCTTAATGACAGAAATTCTGGTCCCAATTGCCATCATAACCTGAGGACTACCTGTAAGTGATGAAAAAGTAACTGCAACCAATGCCTGCATTTACAACCTTCATAGTGTCTCTCTCTCACGTTTGCCATTACAGTCAGTATGTGTTGTCCTATGCCTGATTCATTTTTTTTTCTCCCCCCCTTGCAGAACAGAGAGATTGCTTAAACAAGTGATCTCTTCCAGAGCTGCTTTTCTCTGCAATAGCGTAGTGCTTCCCCAAAAGGTGCTAATGGCTAGTTGCAAGCTGGCTTTGTGATCTTAATTAGCCAGCTCCCAGCTGCTGCCTGTAACTGACAAGACTTCAATCAATTTTACACCTTCAGCTTTTGTTTGTCTCCTAAGCAGCTGGGGGCTCAGAACTGCGAGCACACTAGGAAAACAGCTGTCGCCAGCACATTCCTTTCAGTGTATATTCCCCTTTGTGTGCCTACTTACCCTCTTGTAATCCCTTCCTCTCCAATGAATGTAAATACAAACATTAATCCCCTTCTTGCTAATTATCCCAGTACTGGCGTGAGCATTCCAAAGGATGGGAGAGTGGGGAAAAAGGGCTATAAGATTTGCACTTTTACCTGGCTTCTTCATGAGTTGAGTTCTGGAAACCTTCCCAGCTGTTTGGGCTCACCCAGCTATTTAGAGTCATATCCTTCCGATGTTATAAAGCAAAGAAAAGCTGAATTAAAACTATAACCAATCATAGTCACGTGATTTTCCACTTTGCAACCACATCACTTAGGGACTGAGTTTCCAGTTCCAATTCTGGTTGCTAAACGTGGACTACCTGTACATCTTGATTTTAAGCGGTCAATAGATTTGTAGTTTGAGGAATGTTTTTGTGCAATTATGCCTGGTGAGCCAGCTACAACTCTTCTCGAGCCAGTCTGCTTTGGAAGGGGTTATTCATGCCTTGGTAACATTCTGTTTTGATTACTGCAATGCATTTTAGAGGGGGCTGCTCTTGAAAACAACCCAGAGGTTGTAGTTGGTGTAAAATGCAGCAGCTAAGCTATTGAATTGGCACAAAATATAGATCGTAGGATGCCTATGCTGAAGGATCTGAACTGGTTGCCAATTGCTCCACCGGGCACAATTTCAGGTGCTGATACTGATCTTTAAAGCCCTAAACTGCATAGAAGTTATCTAAGGAATTACCTCCCCTGCTACAAACCAACCTAGTTGTTGAGATCCATATGAAAAGGCTTTTGAAGGTGCCCCAACTGTCAGAGACTCATCCTTCTGAGGAGGGGGGCTTCTGTGTTGTTCCCAGGCTATGAAACACAGTCCCCAGAAATTACTTTTGGACCACAGCTTTTTTTTACCACTCCTTTGAGTGTTAATTGTTATTATTATTTAATTTTAGTGTTAATTTTAATATATGCTTTTAACATTTTATATTATTTTTTAAAACATTGTTAATTGCCTTCAGTATTCACCAGAGGACAAAATTGAACTATTAAATATCTATCCATCTAACTATCTAACTATCTGTCATGGAGCCCAGGTGTAACTAGCATCTTCTAGGTCCAATTCAGACATTTGCTTGAAATGTGGTTCCATGCATTTTATTTAGAAAAATCACTGCCTTTAGTAGAAGTTGCCTTCTGCTAAAGAAGAACTTCAGAAGTAATTTATTATTTAAAACTTTAAAATAATTTACAAACTAAAGAGTTGGTGAGAAACAATTTTTGAAACCAGAGAACAGAGTTAGTACCCTCATGGTGTCATTTGTTATGCTCATCTTTCTAATTAGCCTCCTGTTCAGAAGATACTGAGTTTGGATCTGATTAGGTAACCCCAATCCTACAACTCCCCAAATGGGATAGATGAGGACTAGCAGGATGAGGGTGAGAGCTAGTTTGGTGTAGTGGTTAAGGCATCAGGCTAGAAACCGTGAAACTGTGAGCTCTAGTCCTGCCTTAGGCACGAAGCCAGATGGTTGACTTTGGGCCAGTCATGCTCTCTCAGCCCTAGGAAGCAGGCAAGGGCAAATCATTTCGGAAAAACTTTGCCAAGAGAACTGCAGGGACCGGTCCAGGTAGTCGCCAGAAGTCAAGGCTGACTCGAAGGCACCAAAGCAACAAAACAGGAGGGACAGGAGGGACTCCAAAGAACCAAAGCTGTTTTACCCTGGACTGTGTTTACCAAAAGGGGAGAAGAATTAAAAATCAACAGAAGGAAAAATGCAAAAAGGTCTCTGCCTTTTCTATCAGTGAGCTCTGACAGCAGCTTCAGACTCCTCTGATCAAGAGATTTGTGTGCTATGTAAGGTTTCCAAATTTCACCAGCTAAATGTCTCATGCTTTTTAGCTATTGATACATTGCTAAGCCTATAGCTACCCACTACATTATAACATTGTTAGTTTTATGAGCGCTTTACATCATAATTTTAATGTCAAGTATATGTATGATCCAAGTTACTTCTGCATGGGCTTTCATGTCTAAAAGCAGTATTTAAGAGCTACCATTTACTGTACCATGAAAATCCACAAACAGCAAATTAATTCAGGCAGATAAAATCATGAAAGAAATCTGTACAGGTAGTCCTCATTTAGCAACCATATTTGGGACCGGCGACTTGGTCATTAAGTGAAATGGTCGCTAAGTGAAACTGAAACTGTGCTTATGATCTTACTTCAGCTTTCCTTTGCTTTACAGATCTGCGAAGGTTGTAAACGCTAGGATTGGTCATAAAGTTACTTTTTCATCACTGTTGTAACTGTGAACAGGCACTAAATGAGACAGTTACTAAATGAGGACTACCTATATTAAATAGAGCAAAACTGAGAGACCTTTGGGTAGACATACTTTTGAAAATGATCTTATTTTCAAAAGAGACTGAGCCCAACATTTCTGAAGTTAATGACGTAAATCACTAGCATAGTAGAAACCAACTGCCTAGGTGGAACAATACAATATTACAGCAGTCTTCTTCATCTTAATGTCCTCCAGATGGTGTTGGACTATAATTCCCAATCCTACTGATACCAAGTTGAGGAAGGCAGTTCTATAGTTGCATATGAGTCTTGTATGGGAAGAAACCAATACAAAAAGTGCCATCCACATTGCTAAACAGAAGCTGGATACCCATAAATTAACCTTCCATCTTTACCATGTTGTCATTATAAGCAGTCGGAAGCTTTTGGGGGGATCCAGTGTGCTCATGGCAAACCCTTATTAAAGGAAATCTGCATTCATTCCCAATTCAGTGGGGATCCATATGTAGAGCTGCCACTTACGTTGACAGGTAGGAGGAAGCTCTTCCCTGTGCAGGAGTTGTAATGACATGTGCAGTTTTTCTAGTCTGGCACCGAAATCAAAGTGTTAAAACTAAAACTCAGCCTCTTCCACTGACTGCTTCCAATCATCCCTCACTCAAAAGCAAGGGCATAAATATTATCATGTTTTCTTTTAATCAGCAGGGATCGGGAAGAGAACTAGGGAGAAGACCAATAATAAGTATGAAGACAATCTCCATTATTACTATTATTATAGTGTGAACCCCAAAGAGATTTGGGATTTAAATACTAGTTTTGGAGTAATAAGCCTTTTGTTTTAACAAGTGAAAGCCTGGAAGTAAAATCTTACCCTACTTAGGCTCAAAATTATTATTATTATTATTATTATTATTATTATTATTATTATTATTATTATAGATTTTTTTTTAAACACAGGCTTTTGTGTGTGCACACACACAGTATATCCTCACCTCTAGTTGCCAAGAGCTTGAGAAATCTCTCTGGGGTCACAGGATGCCTAGCTCCTTCACAGTAGTTATTGACACATAAAAAATAATGCTATTTCTTATCCTAAAGTAGGTGTCTGTGCTTCAGGGCTTGTCCTTCTCTTCTGAGATTTGCTACAACATTATTTCCAAACTAAGCAGATGATTCGCTGTTTAGCAGCCAGTCTTGTGCTTGTTTCATCAAGACTCTCTGCATTGACTCTGCTGTGGAAGAGTCCAGTTCACAGTGATTCGAGCAGCTTCCTCCAAAGTCAAATTTCTACTTGCCCTTCCTGACACAATTCTTCTAAAAATACTGTGGGTCTTGGTACTATGTAAAGAATACAGTTTCTGA